CTATGCCATAATATAACTTGATCACAGACAGGGATTGAACTCGTACTACTTAAACCATGAACTTTTTTTATTACCAGTAGCGGTTTCATCAAAGTAGTAGAGTCCATTTATCTCTCTAGCAGTTCCAATCGTCTTCCCCGAGTTCTGGTCCTGAAAAACACAAGTGGAAGGAAGAAAAAGAATGGATCAGTTAGTATCTTTCGATAATCTGTTGACAGAAAGAAGATTGCAGGAAAGTTTTGGAACATGCAAAACAGATTTCAAAGTAATTTTTTCTGAAATTTTAATGTTTCCTTTGCCTGTTTGTGCCATAGACCCGACAGGAGTATTAGGTGACGAATAGGATTTTAGAAGTTTAAGAAGATGATCTATTTGCTCTTTACTGAATGGGGATGATTCAGCCTCGTTTGCTGCAGGCATATTCTGTTCACCAGGTTTGTTCGCCCTCCAATTTGATGGTCTCCCGTGTAGTTTGTAGCAATTCTCTCGGGTATGGCGAGGTTTCCTGCAGTAATCATAGCGTAGGTTATTCTTGTCTCCAACCCGCTGATTTTGGGCTGACTTTCGATTGACTTGGGCCTCAGAAATAATCAGGGCTGACCCTTCCACAGGTCCGGTTGTACCTGCAGCCTTCCTTCCAAGCATCACTTGTCTCCGGCTTTCTTCTCTACGTACTTCTGCAAATACCTCACCGATTGGGGGCAGAAGGTTTCTTCCAATAATTCTGCCACGAACCTCATCGAATTCAACGTTTAAACCTGCAAGAAACTTGAAGACTCGGCCAACATTCACCATCTTCCTTTAATAATTGCAGTCATCGGGTGACTTCCACTGGTAATCGTTGAACAAGTCCAGGTCCTGCCAAATTCTCTTAAGAGAATTAAAAATACTTAGTCACAGAGTTCTCACCTTGGTGAATATCTCCGAGTTGTAGAGTTAATTCGTACACTTGGGATTGATTCCCTAAATCAGAGTACATCTGTGAGACATTGTCCCATAATTCCTTGGTTGTAGAATAGCAGAGATAATTTGCACCTATCTCTTCAGTCGTGGAGTTAACCAACCATGTCATCACCATGGAATTTTCAGCATCCCAAACAGCATAGGCTGGATCCTTCACATCAGGCTTCTTCGTGTCTCCTGAGATATAACCAATTTTACCTCTCCCTCTGAGATACATGCGAACAGATTGTGACCACCGAAGAGTTGTCACCCTTTAGTCGGATTGTAGTGATTTGAATAGGGTGATTTTCAGGCAGATTCCGGACAATCTGGGGCTCAGGCTGAGAAGGCTGAGAGCTGGACGTGACTTCGGACATTTTTAGGGACAGAAACGCAGAAACAAACCTTAGGTCTTTTCTGCTCTGATACCATAAAGAAGAGACAGAAAGATATGAAGAATGGGATGATCATTTATGCTTTTGTACATCGAAATTTATAGCTCTCTCTAGGATACAAACTAGGTAACAAATCTCCCTAATTAAAGGATACAAACTAGGTAACAAATCTCTCTGATTAAAGGATGCAAACTAGGTAACAAATCTCCCTAATTAAAGGAAAGATAAAGCTGATTCCKAAAAATTTKTACAGCTCACAAATCTCTCAACTACCTAAAATAGCACATAATCAGAGATAATACATAATTACAGAAATCTTCCAACATATACATTCATATAGAACTTCAACACATATTCTATGTAAATATAACCATAACAGGAAAATAATGGTTTAGAATGTTGGAGCCAATCCTACAAATTGCAGTTGTTATAACATGAGACGAGACAGAAAAACAGAGCAAAGGAAAGGTTGATTCGAATGTAACATTCTTTATAAGTGCAGGAATTAATTTCATAAATAATTCTCACCAATCCCAACACGAGTCCCAACAGTTAACTCTGAGAAATCAATATTCCATTCTTCAAAAGGTAGTAATGGCTTGTTCAGGAATGTTGAAGATTCAAGCACTTTATTCCATGTTGAGACCATTTCAGCATTTCTCATATATTCTGAAGACACACTATTCTTCGAAGCCTGAACCCTAAACTCACGAGGAGATGAAGGTAATGATGTTTCCATCTGAGAACTTATTTGTTTCTTGTGCAAATTATACATAGCAGAACTTTCACTTGACATCCCATCATGACCATCCAGAGGAAAATCTGATGCCTGTAAGAAGTCTAAGAGCAGATTAACAATCATGAAGACAGGAACACCAAAAAATGAGTGCACCTGAAATCACCCTTCTGAACAGAAAGCTACACCATTTTAATACTGGCAGGTTGATATGAATTAATGAATGCACCTGAAACACTTTTTTCTTTGAAAATGACAATTATAATTTTATTGTAGTCAAAAGGCTGTGTACAGGGCCTTTGAGACATGTGCAGGAATGCATAGGGTGGCTACAATAACCATAGGGTGGCTATGGTAATTAGAACAACAATAGTACATTTAGGAAGAAGGTATGGTGATTCCAACGTAGTGATGGTAGTAGCAGTAGCAGAAAGGGTAATGGATTTTTCTTTGATCAGCAAATAAACTTCATTTATTAATCTGAAATAAGATTACAAGTGCTTTAGCTATTGTCATAGCCTGAGGATTTCAGTGGGAGATCAACTTGAATCAGGGTGATGCAGTAGTGCAGAAAGTAGAAAGTAGAAACATCTTTCAACATTACCCACATTGTTAATTGGTAAAAGTAATTCTTTTTAAATGTGGTTTTTGGATGCTTTTGATATGTACAAAATTTTAATCATAATGATGAGAGCAAAACACAATGATTTGCGCAAAGCCTAAATTGTACTGCTGAAGTTTAACACATCCTAAATTTTGTTTTACAAGGCCTAAAGGTGCAAACTGCAAAGAGCCATGAACCTTCTCAATTAAGAAACCGGTTAACTGGAAAAAGTCAGCACACACTTGCATTAGCTTTCAGAATACAAACTTGGGAAGATTTCTGGTGCAAAAGAATGTAAGCATTGATAACTGAGACAAGAAAAGCATACACTTTGTTGAGCAGAAGAACAGCTGTTCTTGTTGTTTGTAGAATAAGAAAGCAATCCATCGTCACCTTGCTCCTTCAAAAGGCGGTTTTGCTTCAGTGTTTCACTCATAGCACGCACAGCCCTAGACATTAAGCATACTATAAGCACAGTGCCACAGTCTGGGTTAAAGCACAGGTGTGAGGTACAGACCATTTTATTTCTTAAATGCAACAGAACATGAAAATTGAGGTATTTCTTGCATGCCATTAATCTGAACTCTGAAGTAAACAGCCATAACCCTAATTGATATAGTTGATCATATTGTAAATGAACCAACTTCCCCTGTTACCCATGAGGCCTACACTCAACATTTTCTTCCAACCAATGTGAGTTTCATTAGATTGCCATGGGACAAAAGGAAGGTTATGATCATAAAACACTGCCTTCATTGCTAATGAAGCACAGGAACATTTCAAGATGCACACATATAGTTCACTATTTTCCTGGAAATACAAAAAAAAAAGATGTTCAATTTTGAGAAAAATCTGGTAAATAATAACCAATTCCACTTGCAGATTGCAATTGTAAAGCTCTAATACAAGGTGTGGAATAGAGTTAATGTGGATACGGGAAGAAAACAAGTGACCAATCCAGAGATCCCTTCATGATGGATGGTGCAGATTGGCCATAAGATTCTTCCATGTGGAAAAATCATTAGGGTCATCATTTATCAAAGAAAAAAACATCCGTGCAGTCATCTACAGAGCCTTGATAATAGACCTAATTAGGGTATTAATTTATTTGAATCTTTTATCGAAAGTATAGAAAATGAAATAAATTTTTTGTTAAGGTTTAAACAATTTTGTTTAACAATTTTCTATTTTAAAATAATACATAAATAATAGCAGTAGACAATGGATAGGAGTCAATAAAAATGACTCATCCAAGACTAGAGTCAGCTGACTCAATCAGGGCATAATGAGTTACTAGAAAGAATTAAAGTATCGGTATCGGGTATTGTATCAGACAACTCGGATACAGATATGGATATGGATACACTTTGGAAATGCATGGACACGAATTATAAGTATGGATACGCTACAAAAATACATAAAAATTCCATAAATATATTAATAACACCAAACTTAAGGTTAAAGTAGTCACAAATAGTATATAAATACATAAATATATATATAAATATATATTAATTGTATAAATGAAGAAATATATCACAATTAATATAGTGGGATGCATAGATAATGCATCAATCAAGAGTCAAAGACACATATTTTGTTATTTTTTTATTTAAGTCCAAAGCATAAAAATATGCAACCATTATATTTTAATTATTATATCAATTATTTTTTGTTTTACTACTTGTACTTTTTAACATTAACAAAAATTCAATTAAATATTAAATTTTCAAATGATTGGTAAATAATATTTTTATTTTTATAAACAATAAAGGTGTTATCAAACTTATTAAAATTTCTAAGATACATACCAGATACAAATTTTTAATTTTTAATTACTAAATTAATTACTCCATTATTAATAATTTTATTTTATAGTTTTTTCTAAAATAAAATCATTTTCTGATATAAATGTAGGTTAGTGGATTTGATATATTCAATTTAATATGATATTCTTAAATATTTTGTAAATAATAAATATTTTATTTAGTTTAAATTAAAATAATACTTTATAAAAATTTTAAGATACTTATGATGTAAAATCTTATAAATTTTAAGTACTAAAATTCTTATTCTATTATTAATATTTTTTGTATAAATTTACTGACATTAAAAAACATTTTTTGATACTAACTTAGATTTAGATTATTTATAAAATACCTATTTTGAATATTATTCTTTTTGATTTTTAGTTTGGTATATTGATTAAAAACATAAGTTATTAGTTCATAAATACAAAATTTAATAAAAACTACTATATTTGAGTTATTATCACAAAAAAGTAAAGCGGCTCAGTGGTTTAGAAGAGCGTTTAAGATTTGAGAGGTTAAAGCGCGTAGGGATTGAATCACGCTATCAGTGTTTTTTAATTGAAAGGTGCTAGGTGCGGTATAGTATCGATGAGTATCGCTGTGTATCAGCCCCGATACAATGCGATATGCGCCGATACAACCCTGTATCTATTCGATACGCACGACTCAAGGGATACACCCTTCTTTAGTGTATCCTATATCCATATCATCCGATACCGATACGATACGCCTTGTATCAAGCGTATCGTATTGATATTTTAATCCTTGGTTACTAGAGTTTATAAATTGACTCAGATGAATCATATATAAACAAGTTGTCATCAATGATTGAGCTGCATGTTTAGGAGTTTAATCAATTTGGGGAAATCAGGGAATCAACTTTGGAGTTGATGAGCTAAGGTAAATCTGTGAGAGAGATCCCATAAAATGAAATTCTTTAATTTCCTTTTTTGTGATATTTACTATTTAATCAACAATATTTGACAGTGCATTCTTAACTGGGGAACCATGCCTAAAAAATCTTTAAGTATACATTTAGCATCAGTGTGTTTCATGACTGTTCCATTTCTGTTGATGTGTCATGCGCACCATATCAGCAAAAAAATGGAATCGACAAAAAAATTGTATTTGGCAAGGGTGTTTCTCAAAAAAACGTTTCTGTAATAATCAGTGTTTTAAAAGGCATGGGAGGCGTACGCCTGGAGGCGCGCCTCCAAGCGAGGCGCTCCCAAAACGCCTTAAGGCATATGCTAGAGGCGCTGACACCTTTGAGGCATACGCCTCTTGCGATTTTTTCATGAGGCGTGCTAGAGGCGTACGCCTCATGCACATCTGATATAAAAAGACAAAAAAAAAAGAAAAAAAGAAAACAAAGGAAAGGAAAGGAAAGCGAAGGGAAAGAAAAAGAAAGAGAAGAAAAAAAGAGAAAAGGAAAGGGAGGGAAGAAAAGACCCCCCCCCTTTCAACTAATGTTATGCATCTTTATTCTTCTTAATAAAAAGGATTTTTATTAAAAATAAAGAAAAAATGACATCCCCCCCTTCCCCTTCAACCTCCTCCTAACCCTCCTCTTAAGGAGGCATAAGCCTCCTTGTGTTCGAGAGGCTTATGCCTCTTGCGTTTTGAACTACGCCTTACGTCTCTAGGTAGTGGAACGCCTCGCGTCACACCTCCATGTTTTAAAACATTGGTAATAATTGCCCTTGGAATTCAGGAAAGGAGGGGTTTCTTGAAATGTCAAATTGATGTTTCTTGAATCGCTTGGGTGATCCTAATGACATGGCATATTGAAATTTGAAAAAGCTGATTACTTTTTGAGATGTCACACATTTGTCATTACAAATATATTATAATATTAAGCCAAATTACTTTAAATGCCCAGTCAGGCTTGCATCTGTTTTTTTTTTCTTGTGTTTCTCAAGAAAAAAAAGAAAAAAAAGTGAAGCGATTCACTGTGAAATGCTCCGGTGCCAAAACCACTAAATTACTATTCTGAACTGTTGATCTTCAAAACTAGCTCACCATTACCCTTACACTAAGGCAATGTTTGGGAGTGCTTATTCAAATAAGCACTTATTTGCATTTGGCACCCAACTTTTTCAAGTGCTTATTTTTTAAAATAAGCTCTTATTTTATATTGGGCGTTTGGTAGTCTTTTTCTCTAATAAGCACTTAAATAAGCATTTGAGAATTTCGTCCTTCATTTTCTTTCAAATTTTCAAAATATACCTTGTGAAAGAACTTTTAAGAAAGTACTTTTATGAAAGATTTTTTACAAAAGCACTTTTATAAAAAAATATTTACGAAAGCACTTTTAAGAAAGTACTTTTATGAAAGCACTTTTAGAAAAGTACTTTTCATAAAAGTACTTTTGTAAAAGTGCTTTTGTAAAAATGCTTTCATAAAAGTACTTTTGTAAAAGTACTTTTATAAAAGTGCTTTTATAAAAGTGCTTTCATAAAAGTACTTTTATAAAATGCAACTAGGGATAATTTTATAAGTGGTATTTTAAAATTCAAATAGGGATAATTTTAGAAGAAAAAATTGAATAAGTTCTTATTGTATAAGCACTTAAAAGGCTGGAAATTTGGGATTAAAAAGTAAGCCCTTATTTTTAAAATAAGCACTTATTTCGGGCTTATTTCCCAAATACCAATAAGAGCTTAATGGCCCAAATAAGCACTCCCAAACATGGCCTAAATACATCATGATCTTCCCTCCCATTCTCTCTTCTTCTAACACACGAAGACAACACACATGGCCTAAATACATGGCCCAAATAAGCATTCCCAAACATGGCCTAAATACATCATGATCAATTCTGGTTAACCAAACTGATCAGTTCGGTATTTTCGAAAAACTGAAGGTACCGGTTCGGTTTCAATTAACCAATATGAAAAATTGGTGGTTAACCAAACCAACCGGTAGTCCTAGATTAGCCGATTGCATGAGGAGATAAAGGGCTGATCGATCTACTTCAGATTGCCCAGCTCTTGGAATTTTTTGGTGTGATCTAGTCATCAGGAGGGTGATCTATGTTTTGGCATCAAAATCAGGAATAACTAGAGTGCGGGGAAGAGTCCTAGTCAAATTGGACTGTTCAATTTTGATATGATATTAGGCGCTTAGGTATTTTTGGACTTCTCTAGGTATTCTACAGGGGGTGGTTAGGTTTCTGGAATTTTCTAGGCCTTCTGGAGTGGCCAATTCACTTTTCTCTTCAATGGGAGACAGTGGGAGGAGAGAGATTTATCTCCGGATAGAGTTTTCTTCTTCCAAAAAGGCTTGTTACCTTTGTGTGTGAGATCGATTTGATCTTGGAGGCTCTCTACCTACATATTTTCTGCTTTTGAATTGTTTGAAGTAAAATGGAGAATTGGAGTACCGGGCAGAAGTCCACTGATAACATGGGTTTGGGTGTTGGAGGTAGTAGTGATATTTTTGGGTTTGGAATTATTACTATAGTGAAGTTTGATGGTAGAAATTATCCAGAATGGGCACAATCAGCCAAGATGGCCATTGGTGCTTGTGGGAAATTGGGGAGCATCACTAGGGAGAAGAAACCTGATACAGATCCCTCCTGGTGGGTATAAGAGAATTACATGGTGATGGCCTAGCTGTGTAACTCTATGTTACCT